AGGGATAAAATATTGGTAACTCCTATCTCAGACAATGGGATAATTTGCTTAAAATATAAAGAGTTCCCTCAAAACAGTAGAAAAACAACAACAAAAATCCACCAAAACAATATATTAGCAGGCCATCCACAGAAAAGGATACACAATTAGATCTTGGACAGAGTAAAAGAGGCTCAATATTGCTTATATAAGAAAGCTGAATTAACAGCACTTTGAGATACCAATATTCTCCTATGGGATTAGCAAAAATCAGAAGTTGAACGACACACCCTGTTGGGAAGACTGTGGGGGAATCTCCACTCTTAAACATTACAGGAGGAGCATAAATTGGCACAACTCTTGTAGAGGAAAATTTGATAGTAACTATGAAAATTACAAATGCACATCCCCTTTAGCCCAGCAATTTCACTTCTGAGGATTTGTCTGCAGGTGGACATACAGCCACGCGAAATGGCACGTGATCAAAATTATTCATGGCACTTTACTTGTAATTGCAAAAGATTGGAAATAACCCAAGTGTCTATCAACAGGAGACTGCCTAAATGAATTATGGGACATCCATACAATGGAATGCTATGCAGCTATAAAAAAGAATGGGAAAGCATTCCACACCACACACCAATCCTCTCCAAGGTTCACTGAAAACTGAAAACGAGCAAGAGGCAGAGGGTGTTGACAGTGGCTAACTTTTAAGAAACAAAGGGTAGGGAAAAAAAGGCAATACTTTCCAGTGTGCTTGTATTTGGTTTTGAAAATTTTGGAAGATACATAAGAAGTTTAAAAAGTAGCTCTGAGGGACTGGGGAATAAGATACAGGAGGACAAGGCTGGGAGAAAGACATTTCTCCAGATACTTTTTATATAGTTTGATTTTTGAATCATGTGAATATATTACCTACTCAGAAATAAAAACGATAATAATATTTAAAAAGACTTTTGTTCAAAAACAAAAAGCATATGACTTATTTGGGAAAAACAACTGTTGAAATGTGCCAGTCCTCAGCAGTTCACCCCACAATACCCTCTCCTCCTCCTTCTTCGCAGCTCTGCAAGATAGATCACAGGATATGGATGGAGGCCCTACAACCCGACAGAGCACCCTCTTGCAGCTCTGTCTGCTTCATAACTGCAGTGCAAAGGACACAATGGCTGTTAGGAGCAGGCACCCAAGTGGCGCCCATTCCACAATAGGGAATGGGACTGGTGGGAAGCAGGAAGCTGATCTGTAGAAGAAAGCAGAGGTGCCCTGGGAGCCCCGGCAGTGATACTGTCCCCTTTCCTTGGTTGAGTGATCCAATTCCACTCACCTCTCTCAGGTCCAAAAGGGAGGACACACCAGAAAGAATGACAAATTGTGAAGGCATCTCACCTTGAGAGGAAGCCTATCCCAAATCATCTGTGTGATGGTATGTTGGTACAGCCATTTTGGAGAGAAAATTGGCAGTGTCTACTTTATTTTTAACATGCTTATGACTCAGCAATTCCACTATTTCATATCTTCCCTAAACAAACAAGTTCAAGGATGTTTACTTTAGAATTGTTTACAAAAAGTTTAACAAAAACTGGAAACAATCTAAATGTTCATTAGTAGGAAAAAGGTTAAATACATCATGGCAAGTTAAAATGACACTAGGTGTCATTATCCTGGAAGAGAGAAATGGCCTGCTTCTAAATGGAAAGGGTCAGATGATCTGAGTGGGGAGAGCCAGAACCCTCCCCCCACTGCACCAAGCACAGGAAATGCAACCAGGAGTAGGAAGTCTTTCCAAGGAGCTGGGAAGGCAATTTGTCTGCACCTCCAGCAGGTAACACACCACATCACCACAACTCTGCCAGCTTTCAAGGAGATCCTGTGTACCTGGAGAATAGGAGGCAAGTACTTGTGAATTTGACCTGAAGTCTCAGATTCCATGACAGGTAGTCCCTGGGGTTAGGGTGTGGCTTGTCCTATGAGGTTGGGCTGGAGTAAGCAAGTGTCTGGTGGGGGAAGGTAAATGATGCAATGGTGTGTGGGAGCATATCTGGTCTGAAAGACAGGTTGGGGGGTGGGTGGCTGCTACAATGTCCTGGTCAGAGGTGGAAAGGTAAGTCAGTACGCCTTCTGCACAGACCTCCTCCCCACCCCATTTCACCTCCCCCAGTACGGCTTTGCTGAACTACCCACAAACATCAGGTTCAACTGGAAGCCAGGGTGAGGATGACCTAGAAAACTGGTGTGATGCCCGCCCAGGTGTGTGGGACCACAGTCAGAGCCTCCTCCCAGTTCCTATCACATCTCACCCACATCCTGATTCCTAAATTGGCAGTTGGGAAGCAAGTTGAGTGATTAGATTTTCTCCCAGGGAAGGCCAGAAGCATTGCTTTCCTTATTTGTATCAGCATAACTGTTTGCTTACACAAATAATCATGAAAATTCACATCCTTCTCTGAAAGCAGATCATGAAACCATGGAAATACAGCATGTAGACCAGGAAGGGTAGGGCCAGGAGGGGCTAATGTAAACACGGGGTGTTTGTAATCCAAGAGCTGAGAAAGAGTTCTGCTATGGATTCATTCATCGTTTGAGTTTCCTAAGCAAGGAGTGTGCCAGGGGCCCGGGCTGCTCTCTCACATATGTGGCCTCGCTATCTCTGAGAACACTTCACCTTCTGGCAAATGGGGCAGCTGGAGATAGAGGGTCCGGGTGAGGCCTGTGCCTGGGTGAGTGGGGCCTTCTGGGGACCAAGGTGTGAGTGGTGACTGGTATTCAGCAACTCCCTTCCAGGTCCTGAGTTTCCCCACAGGCTGTTTGAAAGGGCCAATGCTTCTCTTTCTCTCCAGCCCTTCACCTGCACCCCTTGCACCACAATTCCATCAGCCCTCAGAGACAATAAGGCATGAAATCCTTCATCTGCCAGGGATCGGGAAGTGTGGGCCAAAGGAGTCCCAGCCACTGCCTGAGAATCCTGACGTCCTGATGCTGCAAGTCAACGTGAAGACCCCCCTAGCCAAAGGAGCCACATAGTTTGCATGTGAAGGTTGGGTTTGGATGAGTCCTGGGAGCAGAGGGATATGTGGAATCCAGATACATACAGGAGCATCTACACACACTATGGGTTTGGCTTATAATAAAATGTATCATGAACATCTGGAAAAGAGATCAAGCACGGCAGCTGAGCCGCAGGCCCCCCCCAGCCTGGAGGGTGAGACCCTTGTCCTAAGTAGGTAATGTCCTCCTGATGCATTGTTAACTGTGATCTTCACTACCACAGCAGTAAGTTCGATTCCATCCCCAAAAGGCCCTTCCAGGGCCCTATTCCTTGCAGGGTGTTGGTCTTCCAATATTTTAACTTACATACCATTTACAAGAATTTTGAAAAACTGTGACCGCACTCTTCCGCCAACACACGTTTTAGATTAAAATCTAAAATTTTTCACCATAATTTTAAATAGTTAGTTCAAATGTTATTATTTCTGGAATATTATAAATTTGACATATTAAAATAAAACTGTTACATTACTTTTGTAGATGTATCCAATGAAAGCCCAATAGCATAGTGACTTTTTCCTAGTCATCCATCTAAAAATTACGTGAACAAATACTTCAAGTCAGAAAATTTACAACATTCCTTTTTCTCCTTGAAATGATATTTCCATTCATTTCCCCCATGAAATTTTATACTAATGTAATATATATTATGCTTAAAAGCATTTTACTGAGCATCCTTCTTTGCAACAATAAAAATACATGTTCAACAAAACTTAATTTATAATATTTTTATGTAACCATACG